TCTATCTATCTATCTATCTATCTATCTATCAGCTAAATTGCTGCAAAATTAAAATAGCGGAATTGTCATGCGGCCATAACACGAAGGGAACAACGGAAATGTTCCCTTCGTTAAAATAAGAGCATTAATCAATCACCTAAAATATCCAACATAAAAATATGAATACAATACATATTTAAATGTGCAAATATTTAAAACTACATATCTATAAATATGCATTACATATAAATAAAATGTACGTGCTCGTGATTTATTTGATTTATTTTTTTGAAGGCATATTACATAGAACGTTGCTTATAATTGAACGCAGTTATTATTATTGTCCTATTTTCTTATGGTTTAACTAAAAGGATTGTGCAGCAATACAAATACAGCAAAACTCAAGCAGGCAGATCTGCTGTCCATGAAAGAAAACAACAGTATTGATTCAGAGGGTAAGAGGGAAATCAGTGATTATGGGAGTAAATCCCACTCTTCTTTCTATCAGTGTCCTGCTGAATACAGAGCCAGCCATTTTGTCCACTGTGGTAGACTTTAGTTTTGTTAATATTTCTTATTTGATGTAGATATAATCACTGTTTTAAGTCCTGGCCTTTTTGTGATATCAATATGGTGAATGATTTATTGTGTTACTATGATAAAAATGATTAGAAATTATTAAAATCATACAATTTTTAAGGGGGCAATTAAAAAAATTTTTTTTTTTTTATGCAGCAAATGTTGATGCAAAATAAAATCTGAATGCCAAAAGCTCTTTTTGAGTGTGTGTATCTCAGGAGGACAGCAGTCTGTGTCTGTAATAGAAAACCACCTGCAGCAGGAGAAAATCAGAAAGGATGCGCCCAGCACACGAAACGCTTGATGCTGCTTTAACCTTTTCCTAAAGCCTGAATTTGCTTCTGATTAAACTGCGTCAGTGGAAAAGAGAACAATCGAAAATACTTTACAATATATGAAATCCTCAGTAGGGACTCAAAACCATTGCCATTAAAACTACTGGCAATAAATGAACGCTTTAAAACAATTAAACAATTAGGATTTTTAATTACAGTGTTAGTCAGAGACAGCAAAATAAAACAGCCTACTTCATTTTTAAGCAAGCATATATCAGAAAAGGGGTTGTAAGAGATGCTGTCTTGTCTGGTCTTAAAGCAACTTTATTTATAGAACATAAACTGATCATTTTGCAAATTATCATGACCAACATTATCATTGACTACTGTTTGCTTTAGTCAAACCTCAACATCCACTAATACTAATAAAATATTATGCTTAAATGTATTACTTTATTATCGAAAAATTCCAGAACATCTTTATATTCTTGCATAAAAGTCATTTTTACCCTGACGGGTGACTTGGTAAATAATAACAAGCATGTGCTGACTATTTGACCTCTGTAACAAAAAACAAAACACATGTGGCCTGTGAATAACTGCTGAACACAGTCAATCCCAATGCTATGCAAATGTGGGCACTTAGGAAAGAATGGAAACAGTTGATAGACTGATAAATACAACTGTGCTGCATGTGTTTTTATTTTCTATTTAACAAAATTGATTTTTTCGTACTGAATACTTCCATAATTCAGAAGCAAAAACAATCTTATGTTTATAATTTAATTAGACAAATATAACCTTTGCCCGTAATGCAGAGTGTACAAAAAAAAGAAGCAGCAGCAGCACAAAATAAGAGTAAAGTTTTTATTTTCTATTTAACAAAATTGATTTTTTCGTATTGAATACTTCCATAATTCAGAAGCAAAAACAATCTTTTTATGTTTATAATTTAATTAGACAAATATAACCTTTGCCCGTAATGCAGAGTGTACAAAAAAAAGAAGCAGCAGCAGCACAAAATAAGAGTAAAAAGAGTAATAAGGCAGGAAGAGTGACCGTCTGAGAAACAGATGAGGCTGATTCTCAGAAGGTTCCTCTTGAATCAATTACAACCATCTGATCTCTCATTCGAAAGTGTTATGACTGTTTGGGCCAGATGTTCTAATCATCAAAATGTTTAATTGAACCAGAAAAAAAAAGAAAAAAGTTGGCACCCATTCAGTGTAGTTTCACGAAGAGAACTGAAGAGCTGTCCATCAAATTAACATCTCAAGCCAAGAGGGAAACTTTGGTTTAGTTGCGCGAGGTCACTTTGGGGCTTTTTTGCCAGCGTTATCTGATATCTCACTGTTGACTTGCGCAGCAATGCTGGCTGGGATGATGTTCAGGTGGATGTCGTACTGCTGATCCAGGCCGAGGTAGCTGTCGCTCATCAGGTACAGCGTGTAGATACACCTGGAGAAAGATTCAGACGTTAAGACCGTAGATACTACAAAAACGCCATCAGAGTAGCAGCAGGCGGCTCTTACTTCCCCGTCTTCTCAGGCGTGTAGAAGGCCACGGACACACTGCTGTGGTTGCGTATAAATCCCACACGTTTGATAGCCAGCAGTTCTTTCTTCTCCACCTCCCCGAGAACAAGAAACCAGCCTTCGTCTTTGGGTTTGGGGAAGCGTGGCGCCTGTGCCTTGCTGTCCTGCTTCCTCTGAAAAGAATGGAATCAGTATTGATTAAATGGCTAGACAATGAAAAGAAAACAGTGAATGAAGTGGTGGACTCACTCTCTGCTGGCCGGCGTTGAGGCGGCGCAGGGACACCTGGAGCACGTACTCCTGGTCAGCGTGCAGCGGCAGCCAGCTGGACTCGTCTCTGATGTTGGTGACGTTAGCAGGGATCACGCGCTCAGTTTGCTCCTCACAACCCTCCCACCAGCCCTTCACACTCATCCTGACCTCCACCACAGGCAGGTGACTCAGAAAAGCCCACGCCTGTGCAAAGAAACCCGAAATAGCACAATGAAGAGGACATGCTTTTATTTTCTTCTTCTCGAATTTGATTGATATCAGGTAAATTTAGCAATACTACCTCTGTAAGTTTTGTTAATTACGCTTGTGCTCACCAAGGCTGTATTTATTTGATCAAAAACAGTAAGCAATGTAAAAACAGAAATATTGTGTATTATCTAGTGCTGTCAAACGATTAATCGCGATTAATCACATCCAAAATAAAAGTTTTTGTTTACATAATATATGTATGTGTACTGTGTATATTTATTATGCATATATAAATGCACACACATACAGTATATATTTTGAAAATATTTACATGTATATACATTTATTATATATAAATATATTTAATATATAAACAGAATTATTCTTACATATATACATGCATGTGTTTGTATTTATATATACATAATAAATATACACAGTATACACACATATATTATG